AGATTTGACACTTTCTAAGCAAACATTTTCCCTCCAGCTCAAAGCAATTATTCCCTTTGAAACATTATTTGTGTTTTGAGTTATTTAAGTACGGTAGAAATTAAAATTATTTGACACAATCAGCGCAAAGCTTTTAAATACGATGCAACCCAATTTGGTGGTGATTATTAATTCAACGCTCTCTTACTTTGGACTTGGGCCAGGGAAAGCTTTTGCAATCATCTCAGGCTCTTACAGAGAGAGGAAAACGTCATTGATTTCCATGTACTCAAATGTTTCCAGATCTTTCTGCACCTTCCCTGCTGCCAGCTGCACCGGAGTCGCCTTTGCTGATTCCTGTCTGGAGTGAGCTCGGCCAGACAGAAAGCTGAAGCGGAGATGCGCTTGGCCCATTTTTGTGCAAAGCAGGGGACTCCTGGCCTTTCCTCCAGCTGAAGACTCTTATGCCCGTGGAAGCACATCTCCCTTTGGATTTTCAATTGCGTGGCAGCCACCCTGCCTTCTGTCTGAAGGTACTGTGCTGTTCCAATTTCCTTCTCATCATTGTTCATTTCTAATCCGCTCACTGGACACGGCGCTTATCGTAACGCTTGACTCAATTGGCAAAATTTATCAGAGTGCATTGCTCATTGGTGTGATCAATAAATATGATAGCGTCCTAACAACATCGAGCTAATGCTTCTAAAAGGATTTATCCGTGTCTGCCAACTTCATTAAAAAAAAAAGTCTCTTACAAGAGGCTCAGCAATTCCATTTCAAGGGATGAGTGTCTGCTAGCAAAACCATTCACTGGTTTTGTTTTTTTTTTCTTCTTTCCTGTCACAGAAATTTGATCAAGAAAACCTGGAAACAAGAACACTCTCTGTTTTCAATCTCATTGTGACTGATTGGGAATACCATGCCTTTGGCACTGCAGCACAAAAAAGGCAGGTGATTTAAGGGCGTCACCCTGCAGTCTGGCTGCTACCAGGAGAAGACCAGACAAGGGTTGGTGGCTGCATCATGAGAGGGTTTGATCTACTTTTCCGAAGAGAAGGGAATACTTCTGGTTTGCTTAAAGCCAAAGCCAGAAGAGACAGCAGGAGTGAAGCCAACAGCTGAAGTTGAAAAGCAAGAGGATGGAGAACCCCCCAGAACGAGCTGCCCTCCCAAGGGACCCTGTGAGGAGCTACTGGATGGAAAGGTGGGAGCATCACTGCAGCAGATGTGCCCAGTGCCTGCAGGAGGCAGCCCTTGGGCAGGAAAACAGCCCCAAGGGCAAGACCGTGCCCTCCGTTATGCCCCTTTACCACTTTGGGCCTTTCAGCTCCATGAACAACTAGCCCACGGTCTGTCCATGAAGGAAAAGGGATGTATAACACCCAGGAGACTGATACCGCAAGGGCTTCATGACCCCACTGGTCGCCTGCCTTCCCCCCCATGCTGCCTGGAGGTGGTCCAAAGCCTCTGGCATGTGCTTCCTCTGCCCCTGTGAAAAGACATATGCCCTCCTCCACCTCTTTTTCCTCCTCCTTCCACCTCGCTCCAGAGTGGGACATTACAATCTAATCACTTAGTGCCAGCCACGCCGCACCCTTCTCCCTCCCCACCTTCGGTAAGCCATTTAATTATTTCCTAGGCTAAGAAACCAGCGCAGTGATAACACCTTTTTCATAGGAATATTTTTTATGTAAGCTCTTTCCAGCACCAGGGGCTGATGCACCAGCCTCTTCAGCAGCAGGACTCAGCCCTAGCCAGCAGCTCGCTGCTTTATTGTGAAATGGGGACGAGGATGAAGTAACCTGTAGTGCCATAGCAACCCACCCCAGTGGCTCTCCTCTCCCAGTTCAAACCACAGCCACCTCACTGGCTGACAGACTAGTCAGGAGGCCACTCGTCAAATCAAAACCAGGCTGAAAGTACTTAAAAACTGTTTACTCAGGTGATTTGCAGCTGTGAAATCAGCTCGCAGGTGACACTGTTCTTGGTCTGCCGGGTGCTTTGGAGGATGGTTTGCATGGTGCTGTGCTCTTTACTGTGGCTGAAGGTAGGTGTCATTTGTCTCTTAGAGCCTGCCTTGGCTCCCTGAAGCCCAGCGTACCCCAGCTGTGACTCGCAAGCAGGGCTGGTTAGCATCCTTGGGGTATTCACCAGGTCATTGCCCCCTTCAAGCACGGGGGCAGCTGTGTCACTTGTGCATCGGTGCTTTAAGACAAATCCAAAGCAGCCGGCGTTCACGCAGGGCTGTAAGCTGGCAGCTCAGGAACTCCTGATCAAACAGCCCAAGGCACACGTGTGATCAGGAATTCTGCTGTTTAGATACATCTTCATATCCAGAGACTAAGACTTTACCATCCCTACTGTAGCAGCCACATGGAAACTAAATACTGGCTCTGGCAACTCTTCCGGAGAGAACTCTGCACTTCAGATCCTCCTTCCTCCTAAGAGAAGAAGATTTAGGGGGGATCTAATCAATGCATACAAATACTTAAAGGGAGGGTGTCAGGAGGATGGAGCCGGTCTTTTTTCAGTGGTGCCCAGGGACAGGACAAGAGCAAATGGGCACAAACTTGAATATAACAAGTTCCACCTAAATATGAGGAGGAACTTCTTTCCTGTGAGGGTGGCAGAGCCCTGGCAGAGGCTGCCCAGGGAGGTGGTGGAGTCTCCTTCTCTGGAGACATTCAAATCCCCCTGGACATGTTCCTGTGTGACCTGCTCTGGGTGGACCTGCTCTGGCAGAGGGTTGGACTAGATGATCTCCAGAGGTCCCTTCCAACCTCATATCATTCTGTGATTCCCTTATTTGCCTTATCAGCTCCCATGATGTAGCCATTTTCCCCTGAATGTACCCAGCCCAGGTTCACAAACTCCATCTTATCTTCCTCTGTGCCTGATGCCTACTTTCACCCAGGCACCAGGCACAGAATAACCCTGGGCTCATTGCCACAGGCTGCTGAGGGTGCTGCCCGTGCAGCTCAGAAACACAGAAAAACTGAGGTGGGAAGGGACATTGGGAGGTCACCTGATCCAAACCCTTGTTCTGAGGAGGGCGAGCATTGACACCTTCCGTGGTGACTCTGTCTCATTAATCAAATCTGTTCAGAGGGGCAGACAAAAATATCTTGAAATGCATTTTAATTTCAAATAGTTTAACACTTTTTCGGGAGGGGAGAGGAGGTGGAGAGGGGAGCAGTTTCACGTTACTTAATTGTGGAGAAAATGTGGTTTTTCGTTTAAAGCAACGTCAATGTTTCTTTCATTGAAATGTTCCTCATGGGTAAACTCTTTTGTAACACTTAATTGGCATACTGTATAACCAGAATTGTAAAAAACAGTGCTGGAAGGCATCTCGAAAGGGTTTGTGTCCAATCCCTGCTCCAGATAGGATTTCCTTCATCTAAACCCTCACTGATTATCATCTAACCTGCTTCCCAAGATCTCTGGTAATCTTCCCATGCAATTTGCTCTACCCCATAACAGCCTCGCAGACAAAGGTGCTTTCCCAAATGAAACCCCAAATTTACCTTCTTTATTCATGCTCATTAAGAACTTGTTAAGCAATCATTTGCGAGGAATAATTCCTGCCTGAGGGGAGATAGGAAACTCATTTTGCCGTATGTAAGCAGCTCATCTGTGGGCTGCCTATTTTGTTTTGTTTTGGTTTGTTTTTTTATGAAAATTTCCAGTTTCATGTCTTTGTTGACTTGTGCCAGCTTTGCAATGGTCTCCCTTGGCATCAAACAAGGTGGTAACCTTGGAGTCCCCTTCCTTGGAGATTTTCAAGACCCGCCTGGATGCAGTCCTGAGTAACATGCTCTGACAAGCTCTAGGCAATCCTGCTTCAGCAGGGGAGTTGGACTAGATGATCTCTATGGTCCCTTCCAACTCTAGAAATTCAGTGAAATTCAGTGAAACTCCCGCCCTACCCTGCTCCTCCTTCTGTCCATGGGTTACCGGCCTGTCCGTCGGGTCTCCAACAGAGGTTGGTTTAATTCCCACTGGCCGGGGACTGTGGGCAACCGACCACTGACACACAGCATGAGTTCTGCTCCTCCTGATCCATCACAGCATGAGTTCTGCTCCTCCTGATCCATCGCAGCGTGACAACGGGCAAGTAGGGCCCGAGAAGTGATCATCCCCCTGTACTTGGCACTGGTGAGACCCCACCTCGAGTACTGTGTCCAGTTTTGGGCCCCCTACCACAAGAGGGACATTGAGGTGCTGGAGCAGGTCCAGAGAAGGGCAACGGAGCTGGTGAGGGGTCTGGAGCACAAGTCTTACGAGGAGAGGCTGAGGGAGCTGGGGGTGTTCAGTCTGGGGAAGAGGAGACTGAGGGGAGACCTTATCGCTCTGTACAAGTACCTGAAAGGAGGGTGTAGAGAGACGGGGGTCGGTCTCTTCTCCCAAGTTACAGA